GTGCAGGAATTCTGCATTGGGCCTCTAGTTTAAAAATAAATGTGTAGGAACCCCTGATGCTCGTGTTTATTCTGCTTGGTGAAAGGTGGAAACATCCAACTGGTCCTTTGTCATGTACCTCAAACATACTCCAGATTTCACAGGAAGATTCCTGTTGTTCCTACCTCAATGCCTCTAGCCCCCTGTTCTCTGCCCCCAAGGACCCATCTATAAGGATTCAAGGAGGAGAACATCTATTAAGTTATGATGCAACGCTGTTAGGATTCTCTCGTTTTTGCCTAATGGCAGGTGTGATCACATCAGCCTATAGCTGTCTTTTTTTGAAGGACAGCCTTCTTAAGAAAGGCTGGATTGGCCCAGCCAGCATGGCTCAGTGGTTGAGCATCGATCTTTGAACCAGGAGATCACAGTTCAATTCCTGGTCAGGCCACATGCCCAGATTGCAGGCTTGATTCTCATCATTGATGTTTCTATCTCTCTCCCTCTCCCTCTCTCAAATCAAGAAAGGCTGGATTGGGCAGATAACACTGGTATGCTTTGAGTTTTCAGGAAAAGATCTTTTGATTTGTGTTCTTGTACAATTACTTGTGATTTTTTTGACAGAGGAATAGTAAACTAAGGAGCTAAGGGCATGGGCCTCTAAGATGGAAGCCAAAGAGGAACCAACCTGGTTTTGTTCTTCATTTAGGCAGTGGTGTGCTGATAAATGTTGTAACAGCCAGCTCTCTGAGAAAGAAATGTATATTTCATATATAATCAAATGTAAGTCTGTTAGAAATTGTACTGATATACAAATAATAAAATATGCAATTCACTTTATAGAATATGCAATACTATTAAATACAATAAATGTGTAATACAGTAATATAATTCAAAATATACTTTTCACAAATCATAATAGGATGTGCAGGAATTTATAATCAGAACCAGCTCACCAGGATCTACTCTATCAGGGTTTGAGGTGGGAGTCCCATTAACAAATTGCCTGGGCTAGTTCTCTGCTCGTTGTATTCCTTTGCAATCTCATGGAGAAGATGGAATGGGGGCTGAAGATAAAGAGTTCCCATGTTTGAGACCTTGGGACTCAGCCCCTTTTTTCTAACACCCTTAATACAAGGTATCTTAGCATCTCTAACCAACCCAACTTCTCACTTCCTAACTAGAAATTGGACTCTTATTGAAAGACCGCGGAAAAAGCAGATATGAAAGTCTATGGGCAAGTTAGTTGGAACCATGAGATCTTTCGCTGGGCTTGTCTGCTGACTCACGGGGAAGTTTTCCGTTCAGTAGCTCACATTTTCAAATGTCCTTTGTTATTTAGGAAAGCTTAACAGCAAAGCATGATTGGCTCTTGGCTTGGTATGGAGCTTAACTCAACAAATGAAAATGAGTGGTGGCCTCCACCGTTTTGGTTTTTTTTTTTGAAATTTGAAATTAATTTATGAAAACCTAAAATTAGAACATGTGAAGTGGAGAATGATGTCATTTTTTCCAAAAGGGCTTTTGCTTTATAAAAAGATCTACAGGGAGTTACCTGAAAAATCAGATAGTTTTAAATGGTGCTTACAAAATCCTCATTTCTGTATATGCTTGCAGAATTACACAGATTGCATTAAACGTACTGAACCTACATTCATCAGACAGTATCCAGAACATGTCTTCTTACATCTGTGAAATAGGAAATAAGACCCAAGTTGGGGTTGGGAGTATCAGAGGGGTTACATGCTAGCATAAGGGTATGCTTGGGGAAGGGAGAGAGAGAAACATCAATCGGTTGCCTTCTGTACATGCTCCAATGGATTGAACCCGCAACCCAGGTATATGTCCCAACCGGAAATTGAATTGGCAACCCTTCGGTGCACAGGATGGTGCTCAGCCAACTGACCCACTCCAGCCGAGCCAAAAACCATTTTCTTCATTGCCAGACTGAGTCACTTGCTGTCCACGTGACTGAGCCAGCAACTTTGAAACTGCTTTTGTCTCTGTAACACACCCAGTGAAATTCCTAATAAAAACGGAGAAACCTCAGCTTGAGTGAAAGTTTTGAACTCCTACATTCCTGGAAAAGGTCTCCATGGAACATATATATGAGGGGAAAGTATGGGTTTTAGAGCAGAGGCCCGTGTGCATGAAATGTGATAACCCTGCAAGTTCAACTTCCATGTACTCATAAAATTCCTAATGAAGTTTACCCAAAATGTGTCTTGGAAATTTTAAAAAGCCTGTGTCCAGAAGGAAAAAAGAGGTGTCCAGGGATCATTAGGAGTCAGATCATTTTCCTGAGCTGTTTCTAAATCCTCTGATGAGCCTTAAGAGAACGTGAGCTATGCTACAGATGTGATAATAGACGATTACTAGGACTTTGCTTGAGCCTTATTAAAAAAATAAATTAAAATAAAATAAAAAGAATTACATTGCCATCTGAAAACTCCCTTAAGATCTGTGAATGCTGGGTTTCAAAGGGAGCAAGTCTAACTGGGCACCACAGGCAAGCCATGTCTTGGGCAGGGAGAACAGATTCGAAAGAGAAGCACACCAAGCCATGTGCTTTGTCTTCTTCATTTGCTATTGCCTCACATTTGTGCTGAGACAATTTCTTTCTTTCTAACTGAGCATGTCCAACATGGAAATGTGTAACCTTCTGTGCAGCAATGTTCTGAAGAGACGGGGAACCCAGGGATCTCTGGTCCCTGTCGCCGCATTTCCCACCTCCTCCCACCACATGGGCCTCACGGGCTTGTGTCTCCACCTCTGCTCACATGCTCTCTTCCCCAGCTACAAGTGCCATTTCCACTGCTGTCCGTCATCCGAATCCCTCATTTCGTGGCCTTATGCAAAGAGATCCTTCCTCTGCAGACCAGAGGACAGGTGGCCACTGCTGTAAGTCTCCTGGAGAGGCAGGCTGGGGCCAGGAATTGGCACGAAGCTCCAATCAGTCTCCCCATGCACTGTATGCAGTCACTGGGGCCAAGTAGCAATGACAGATGAAGTGAATGGGGACACGCAGTCTTACTAACGTGTACGAACGTAGCAGAGATTTTGTCCTTCGATTCATGACACCATTCAGACAGTCCTGCTGTCTCTCCCCTTTGGGGGCTCCTGTCTGCTTTTCAGATACGGTTCCTATTTCTTAGCCCCAGGGACAAAGCCCTGCGTGCCCTGGCCACGACTCTCCAGCCTCCCTTTGTTATGTCATTCTTCCGCATCCACATCTGTCCCACTGTTGTTTGGACTCCTCCAGAGATGCTGCTATTTGTCCTTTAAAGTAAAAAGTAGGTCAAGTGTCACTTCTTCTTGAATTTTGGATGGATTTTTTTCTGGGATCTTCCAGGCTGTGTCAAGCCCTGCTCTGCGTGCCTGCAGGGATCTTTCCCTGAAGCACTTCCTGCTTTGTCTACCTTTTTTTTTCTTCTTCTTCTTTTTTAAAATATATTTTATTGAACTTTTACAGAGAGGAAAGGAGAGAGATAGTTAGAAACATCGATCAGCTGCCTCCTGCACACCCCCTATTGGGGATGTGCCCCTGACCCAGGAACTGAACCTGGGACCTTTCAGTTTGCAGGCTGACGCTCTATCCACTGAGCCAAACCAGTTTTGGCTAGTCATGACCTTTCTTATCTCATTCATGGTGAGCTTCCTAATGACAGATCATCTTCAACTCTGCCCCCAGCACTCAGCAAAATGCCCAACACAGTAATTCCTCAACTAGTGTTGGAAAGAAGACATGATCTGTTGCATTACCTAGAAATTAAAATAGTGAATATAAAGAAAGAAAAAAAGACAAGACATCGTCTCTGAGTTCAACTAAAGAAATCAGAATTTTGACACTCTTTAGTGGCCCATGGGAGAGAAGAAAGACACAAAAATATGAGCCCGGGCCTGTGATTGATGAATGCTGGAACTCTGACAGCATGTGACTCAGGTATTCCTGAGAACATAAAGCCTTGGAAAAGGGCAAGCGCACTACTCAGGAAGAACTTCAAATAAAAAATGATCACTAAGCAAACACTGAGGGAGAGCTGTCTTCAGTAAGAAATAATGCCCTAGGAATGCACCAGGATTCAGAACAAATAAATCTAGAGAAAGAAGAGATTGTATCCGAAGGAACCTGTTTGGTTAGCTGGAAAGTTGAGGGATGATTCATAGCTCTCCAGGGTCACATAGTACAGTAGGTAAATCAATGACATGGTAGCAAAGAATCTACCGTTCCTTAGTACGGTATGCTTTTAGCTCCAGGGGAAGGGAGGTATTTCATTCTATGACAGCCAGTGTGCCACAGAGCTATTTGGTTGATAGGGTCAAAGAAAGTATCAATATAGAGAATTCTCCAAGTTGGCCACAGTACGTAGCAGTGAGGATAGCATGAAGGTGTACGGCATTGCACAGCTGTGTTGGTAAACCCCCTAAGGTGCTGTTAACTTGTGGAGCGATGGTTGCATAACCCTGCGACCAGGTTATATTGTGCCCAGCTCAGCCCCACCCTCCTCCAAGAGGATTAATGGTGGAAAACCCTAGTCAGGCCCTGAACCAAACAACCCTCAATCACGTTTCCATGAAACCTTTCTACAGTAGGTGAACGTTGAAAGGAGGCCCTTTCAGAACCTTGAGTCCTGGTGCAAGAAGCCCAGAATCCAGAGAGCATACATTCCCATCACTATCTCTGCAGGGGACGGAGAAGAACTTTCCTGCTAGAGAAGCTTGTTGGGTTTGGGGGTTTCTAATAGACCTGTTTTCAAAATGAACAAACATGTTGTCTGTTCCTTTGCAAAGATCTTGCTGGACTAGAGGAGGCCAATGCTGAGACATCAGAGTAGGGCCATCGGGACCTCAGTGGCTGTGTTTTGATCTGGGAGGCAGGGCTTATTTCTTCTTGAAACCAGTCTTGAGAATGGCTCTCTTTGCCTGGCCTCTTGTGTTCCCTCATCCAGTATCATTGGGACATTTCCTGCCCCAAAACACATCAATACACTGACAAGGTGGCAAAGAGAACCCAAGCTGCCAGAATCATCCTCATTCACACCATTGCCACTTGTGTTAGTCCTTGGTAATGAAAGAATCCAGCAGATGGTCAAGAGTGCGTTGTCTGGCTGTAGTCTGGGTTCTTTGTAAATGCTGTTAACTGGCAGATTAATTGTGATTCTCACACTTCCTCTCTCACTTTCTCAGCCTGCAAACACTAGGAGGCTCAACCTCAAATCTATTTTCCTATGTTTCTGGTGGTTGGTTCCTGAGTACTTCCCTTAGAGACAGTGCCTGCTTTTATGCTACTTCCGTCTGACACAGGCCATGCTCTCTATGCCTTTTTCCTCACCTTAAAATTAGGGTTTATAATTATAATGCCTACCTCATGGAGTTCCAGAGAGGAGTAAATGAGTTAACACACATAAAGTGCTTCAGTTTTAGGTGCCAGTTTTTAAGCCCTTTGGTATGCATAGATTCTCAGATTCAACCTTGCAGTGGCAAAGCATAGAACATGTAGCTGAAAGAGATTGATTGTATGGCCAGCTTTTTGTTTTTTTAAAGCAGACAACTGAAATCCAGAGAAGAGACAGGTCTCTTCCCAACGTCACATGGCTGTTAGAGATAGAGCGCGAAGCAGCACTGGGGCTCCCTGCCACCTGAAGCAACTTTCTCAAGGTCCCTGGCTACCGGGCAGTGAGAGGATCAGATTCTTATAGAGTAAGTGGCCACGTCCTGCATTAACCAGCCTTGCTTGCTTAGGCTTTCTGAATGGGCATAATGTTGAGGACTTTATAGTTTAAGAATATAATGCCAAACTTTGAGTGGGTAAACTCAGGAGGAGAGACAAGGATTTCAGAAGGCAAAATTATGAGTAGCTAGTTGCCAGAGCTTTCATACCTCAAGGGCGATGGAAATGTGCTTTACCGATATTCTTAATTTATTCTTTATGCCTCTCTGAGCATGACAGATTAGGAAGGAAATGGTGTCTGTTTCTAGGATTGAGCCTGTTGAGGTTTGGAAATAGCCTAGAGCAGCCCTGGTGTTGGCCACCAGGAAGAAGTACATAGAAGTTATCTCCTTCTGAGGTTGGGACAATGTCCCATTGACCTGTTTTCCCTTTTCCTTCAGAGCAGGAGATTGCATCTGAAGGCGTGGTATGGAAATGAATAACCTGAGAAAGCACAGCAGGATGTGAGTAAATTAAAGCATTGGGGTTTTTCCCTTGGGTTTTTAGGCAAAGAGGACCTACCTTCTATAAAAACTTAAATGAAAAAAGTACTAACATGAGTGAACATAGGGGCAAGTCCAAAGCCGAGATGCCATTTTTGCTCTAAGTAAATTCACTGAGGGAATTTCCCCCCTGAAAGAAAGAAAGAAAGAAAGAAAGAAAGAAAGAAAGAAAGAAAGAAAGAAAGAAAGAAAGAAAGAAAGAAAGAAAGAAAGATGGAGGAAGGGAGGGAGGGAGGGAAGGAAGAAAGGAAGGAAGGAAGAGGGAAGGAAGGAAGGAAGGAAGGAAGGAAGGAAGGAAGGAAGGAAGGAAGGAAGGAAGGAAGGAAAGAATGATTCCAAACCACTGCTTTCACTGTTCTAATTTCCCACTCTTCTTGGAGGTTAATCAAGGGGAATACTGTCAATGGGTTGAATAGTTGTGGAACCTAATGAGTTAGTACTACTCGGAGCTTTTATTGAAAAGGACATCTAACTGGTACAATCGACATGGGTAAGAGCAGTTGAATGCAAGGCAAGTATGACAAATGATAATGAGGTTGCAGTGAGCGGAGTATTCTACCTTGTTACCAATAAGTGTGGTGGCCCTGGTTTCTCCCAGGAAGAGGGATCTGGCTTTGGCATTGCCCATGTCAGACACCCAGGGCATTTCCCTGCTGACTCTCTCCTGAGGGACAGAACATGCTAATATCTCACAAGCCCAAATTCCAAGTCCCTGTTTGTTGAAAGAGGTCAGCCGGCATTCTGACCTTACTCAGGTTCCTGATTATGGTATTTTGAATTGGGTGGCTCAGAAATCCCCAGAGATTTCACTGTCTGGTTTCTGGAAGTTTATGGAAAGTGAAACTCAGCAACAGGATCCCCAAAGAAAATATAAAAATTAGCACATGACAGGAGTAACTTCTTGGTTGCTGGGGTGCGTGTGTACAGGGATCCAGCCCCATTGAGAGCCATCCCCTGGGTTGGGGGACGGACACAGGCCATCATCTCACAGAGAGCATCAGGACAGCTTCTGCTTTCCCTCCATGGAGGGCCTGCCTGAGAAAGAGTTGGCTTCTTTTATTGTTGCTTTGAAACGCTTATTGTTGTCTTCTATTTTGCTGTCACCATGAAACTGTAATAAATAGAGAAGCGTGATTTCTTCATCGTCTCCATCTTCAGATGCACTTCTCCTCCAGGGTACCTGAGAGCATGCAGCTGTTGGGGATCAGGAGGAGGGGAGAGAGAAGTGGGGTTTGGGAAGCACTGGTCAGTTCCAGTCTGAGCAACAATGTAGTCTGGGAAACAATGTAGTCTCATGCCAGTTCCTGGCATTTGGTGTGCTTTTGTTTGTGAAAGGGTACGGTGTGTGCATTATAACGTGTGTGTGTGTGTGTGTGTGTGTGTGTGTGTGTGTGTGTGTGTGTTTTAGAACACTGAATTACTCATAAACCCAAGGCTTTGGCTCTCTTTCATGGAGCTTTCTTTAGGGGGCTGTTTTTGTCAACTTGGGCATGGTGTCACACCGACTCACTCCCATGGAATCCAGTTAAATGTTCTTAATGCGTTTGCTCCAGCTGTGGACATGTGTTTTGATTTACATTGTGCTTGCATGGCCCGTGGGTATGCTTCGTTCCTATGGAAGACATAATTTGCAACAGAAGACTTGGAATAGCAGCATCCTGCCTACAAAGTCACTGGAACAAGAAGAAAAGACTCCCTGATTAATTCCCACATCTCAGACTGCTCTTCAGAGAGACACCATTTCAAGTGGTGAACTCAGTGTGGTTCTCAATCCTGGATCCGTAATAGCCTCTCCTGCATGGAACATTAACTCCTCATACCCTCAGCCTACCCATCCCCATCTCTCCCAGTCCCAGAGATTCCCAGCATATCTTGGGAGGTGGCCTTGGGATCAATAATAGGTAGGTAGGTAGGTAGGTAGGAAGATAGATAGATAGATAGATAGATAGATAGATAGATAGATAGATAGATAATAGGTAGATGGATGATAGATATTTTTAACACAGAGATGAATTCGAAGATCAGCCATAGTTGAGAACCACTGAGTCCATGTGATCTTTTCAACACAACTCGCAATAATGACAAATCATAGGTATACCTAAGAATAGGGAGAGAAAGAGATATGCATGGAAATAAAGACAGCCAGCCAAAGAATGCCCATGGTCACTAGGGGGCTTCTTGGTTACAACCAACTGCTCCCTTACCTCATGGGCTAATTTGGCTTTCTGCAAAGATGTTACAAAACTCTATAAAAATGACATGGTTTAGAATCAGAGCATTGGAAGGTTGTAGAAGTGGCATGCATGAGTGAGCCCACAAATGAAGAGCCATTCATGATCTGCACCATGCGTGGCTGGTTCCTGGTAGATATCCTTTAGTTGGATGGGGCTCAAGCTTTTGAGTGTTGTTTGCACATCCAATACATACACAAGCTGGTAATAACCACCTACTATGTGCCAACTACTCATCTAACACTTTACTTACATCATCTCTTAGCACCTCTACAAGGCCAGCATTATTATCCCCGTTCTATAAATGAGACAGTAAAGACCCTTGCCCACATGCACTCAACAGTTGGGAAGGGTTGGAACTCAGACCTGAGGGAGTCCCAAAGCCAGACTGCAGCCACACTGGAAAACGGAAGACCATGGAGCTGAAAGCTATGCAACCACTTCAGAGAAATATGTCAGAGCCTCACATGCAAGGGTATGCTCACATGACATGTCCTAGCCAAGGGCCAAATCTTCTGGTAACTGTGGCAGTGATGACTGAAGAGTGTGATGACAGCCATCTTAAGCATGCACAGTGGAGTGTGAACCTCCATTCACTCTGGGTGCTTTTATTTATCTCTGTTTTTATGTATGTTTGAAATATCTCATTGCTAATCATTCTTGGGCAAAGGAACATGGAAGCAAGTGGATAAGCTTTTCTGCACTATGGATTAGTCAGGTGGTTTCCCATAAACGGAAGGGCAGATAATTGCTGATATGACCTCAACAAAGATAAGGTGGAGAAAGGTATGTTTGCTAACTAACTGCAAAGGAAAAAGAAGTGTAAGAGGTGATTAAATCCATTGTTTCTGTGCTCTGTGCTCCTCCAAAGCATCACACTGGACTGTCTCTGTCTCTTCCAGCTTGACGACAGAAAGCAACTAGCCAGCAGTACACTCAAGGAGAACAGAGACCTTCCTAGTTTTGTGTAGGATGCCCATTGTAGGTATATTGTTTTTCATAGGTTATACTAGAGGCTTGTTGCACGAAGATCCGTGCAATAGGCCTTCCTTCCCCTGGCTGCCGGCACCAGTTTTCCCCCAGCACCTGGGACCCAGGCCTTTGCTCTGGCTGTCGCCTTCCATATTTGCTTCAGCCAGAGCCTTCAGTTTTCGCTCCAGCCAGAGCACTGCTCATGTAGCTCCCTCTGCTCCCTGCCCTCCCCCTCATAGCAGGCATCCCACCCCACCCGGCTGCTCCTTGCCTGCATGCATGCTGCCCAGAGGCCCAGAGAAGCCAGGGGTCAGGGCCACCGCCATCTTTGTTGGGTTAATTTGCATACTCACTCCTGATGGGCTGGTGGGTGTTGTGAAGTGAGTCAATTTGCATATTTGTCTTTTATTAGTGTAGATGAGTGCTCGTGAGCTGGGATTGCTTTACATTAAACACTCAAAATTATGAGAACAGCCATCCCCAGTGATCACTTGCTTTTTGGAGTGAACCTCAAAGGCCAGGAAGAGATTCCAGCAGCTTTTGCTTAAAAAACTTTCTTACACTGCTTTCCAGGTTCAATATGACACAGAGGGTTGTGCTTTGATTTTTGACTTGGGATTCATGGAAGTTATCAATAAAGTTTAATTTTCTAATCTCCCACTTCAGAGCAGCTGACAGATACCAGCTAACATTTGTTGTGTGTGCAATATAAGGAAGGAGTCTCCATTTATTTCCCAATGCATTTAGCTACAAGGCACTAATGTACACATCTTAGTGAGAGTCATTGATTTGAGGAAAGCTACTAACATAAATAAGCTGTGACAGGGAGAGTTCATCCAAGTTTTAATGAGACATCTCATCTCTCTTTCTGCTTAGTTTAAAAAAAAAAATCTACTTTGACACTTTAATCTCGAGGAAGAATGAAAGCAGAAAGGGCAGTTTAAGACACAGTTCTTGCACATGTCAATCATATTAATAGAGGGTGTCCCCCAAAAAATGTATACACACTTAACAACTGAGAGCTCGGTTGGTGCTTCTTTTCAGATTTAATCTTTTGGAATTAATAAATTATTTAAAGTGTGATTTCTAGCAAACAGATAATAATACATATTCATGTTTATTAATGCAAACAACTTTAAATGTTCACATATGGATTAAATGACCATTAAAATAACAGTCAAGATATTCTTACACTTCAGTCAGTTTCTTAAGTTATTTTTTTCTTTTAAAGTATTTTACTAATTATAAAATTAATATGGGTAATTGTGATACATAAGTAACAAAGTAAACTTAGAAAACTACTATTTTTGCTCTCAACATTTTATACAATATAAAAGATAATGACACTTTCTTGATGTAATATCTTAATTGATCATAACATTTTTCTGGCTTGAACACATTTTTCATTTAATTAGATTATTATAATTTTAGCAACATTTTTATGAACTTTAAAAAATTTTAATGACATTTTTAGAGTAGTTTTAGGTTCACAGCAAAATTGAGCAGAAGGTATAAAGTCTTTCCATATATTCTACCACACACACACATGTACAACCTCCCCCGCTATCAACCTCCCCCACCATCAACATCCCTGTCGTCCGGAGAGGTACATTTATTGCAATTGATGAACCTACACTGAAACATCATTATCACCCAAAGTCTGTGGTGTATATTATTAGGGTTCACTCATGATGATGTACATTCTCTGGGTTTGGACAGATTTGTATACGGACATATTTCCACCTTATGGTATCATAGATGAGTATTTTCACTGCCCTAAACATCCTTGGTGCTCTGCCCACTCACTCCGCCATTTCTAGTTCTAAAACTGTCACTGGTATTTTTCTGAAGAATGTTATTTTTTTTCGGTACCTTTTTGTTATTGTGTGGTTTGTGTTTTTTTTCGTGAAATTTCTGAGATCTCCAAAATTGTAATTTATGATTAATACATTTGAAATTCTTGTTGCATTCAAGTAATTCTTATTTATAGTGAAAACATATTTTTAGTTGAGAAAGTATTTTATAGATGCCAAGGTATATGGTAAGGTCAGAGCAATTTATACTGCATGGAAGATATAGACTCAGTTCTATTTTTTCATATTGAAATAGCTAAATATTTCAGCCTAAATATTTTACATACTGTCTCTCAGCTTCCATTCAGAGGAACATTTTTTAACAGATATTTTTAAAGACAGGATTTACCATAAAAGATTTCTTGTATTACCATTTTTAATGTTTTAACATATTTAAATGCTGAAAAAATTCTGGATTTTTATTTTTGCTTCATTCTGGCACAGAATATCACTTTATCCAATTAAAAACAGAATCACCATCCAAATACACTTCCTACATGTTGAGATATTCCAAATTCAATATTTTCCAAATCAAATCTCTGGTACTGTTTGAGTGATGATCACTTTATTTGTTAAGTTCTGTCTTTGCTTTAATAATATTTCCATATCTTCTTGTTGGCAAGCTTTGTTTTTATTGATGGCAGTTCTCCATAAGCTTCAAAAGCTGCATTGGGGAACTTTTCATTCATCATATACTTTCATTAAAGATTTTCAATGGCTTTTAAATGAAATTCAATAAAATAAATAAATAAAAATTCAATACATGTAGGACTCTTAGGTTGATTCACAAAAAAATAATTCAAAGGTTTGAAAAGATCTAAAATCTGATTGCTTATTAGAAGCAAGGAGATGAAGCTCATATCACTATGGCAAGGTTTTTTTGTTTGTCTATTTCTTTAATTTCATCATTAGCTTTGTCACAAAAATTTGGTATTTGAGTTATTTAGTTACTCTGTATGTGTGTGTGTGTGTGTGTGTGTGTGTGTGTGTGTAAATTTTGATAACTCTAGCTTTTATTTTTATTGGTAAAACAGCATTGCTTGTTTGTACACATCTATAGCTTGTGCGTTTACCCAACCAACTCTAAGTACAGTTCTGCTCCACTGTTTTCATTCAGTAAGAACATAGTTTTTGCTTTGTGGCTACACATCACCAGCTCAGTGGAAACATTCTACTTACATTTACAGTAACATTCAAAATAAGGACCTGTTTCACTTTGGACAGGATGAATTCCCAGCACTTTCCTGGGATCCCATGAGTTGGATTTTGAAGACCACAAATCCAATTTTAGGAAGTATTTGAACTCATTGACTAGTTGAAGTATCAAGTGACAGTGGTATGCAAAACTGGCCCTTTTAGAAAACTGTTTGCAGCATTCCCAATTTGTTAGTAACAACCACTTATTTCACTTTGTAAGTTGGAAACGAGCAAAATTAATTGAGCATATACAGTTGGTCTTTGTGCAAAGCCATTCTTTGTAAGTGCATATTCCACAGCTGCCCTCATTGTGGGCACATTCTTCTTTAAATATCCACTGACTTAAGAAGGTGCTGATGCTTCTTCAGTGGCACTCTTGTCCCTTCTGATTGTCAGGTGGTTGGCGATATTGCCATGATATTCTTTAATAAATAAGGGATATTTACCCTTCATAGCAAGGGATTTGGCTAGTAAATGCCAAACCTATTGTGTGCACATGACACTTCCATCAATTGTCTGAGACACAGAAAGTTAGTACCTAACTGTTCACTAACCATACACTTTTAGTTCATTTAAAAAAAAATTGGGGGCAGCCGAAACAGGTTTAGCTCAGTGGATAGAACATCGGTTTGCGGACTAAAAGGTCCCAGGTTCCATTCCGGTCAAGGGCATGTACATTGGTTGCAGGCACACCCCTGGTGTGGGATGTGCAGGAGGCAGCTGATTAATGATTCTCTCTCATTGATGTTTCTAGCTCTCTATCCCTCTCCCTTCCTCTCTGTAAAAAATCAATAAAATACATATAAAAAAAATTGGGGGCTTATTGTTGCCTAAAGGATTTGCAAAATAAAAGTCTTTCCAAATAATAAAATATACAAATATTTGTACATTTATACAATACAATTACTGATAAAACCACTGCATATGACTACTCTACTTCCCATACTCTCTTTCCTGTATGATTGGGCAGTGTCTGTGTACTGCACATAATTTATAAACACCTAACCTGTGATTTCCATTTTCCTCTAACCCAGTGATGAGGGCCTGGCATTTTCATCAAACTCAGAGACTGATGCAAGGCTGGTATAATATTCACAAATCAATAAATGTGATACAACATAAACAAATTGGAAGACAAAAATCACCAGATCATTTTAATTGATGCAGAATAAGCATTCAACAAAATCCAACACCCTTTTTTGATAAAAACTCAGCAAAGTGGGCTCATACCTCCGCATAATAAATGCCACATATGACAAACCTATAGCCAACATCATACTCAGTGGGCCAAAACTAAAACCATTTTCCCTAAGAACAAGAACAAGAGAGGATGTCCGCTTTCACTACTCTTGGAGGAAATTCTAGCCACA